ACTTCAAATACAATACAGACATAATATGCAAAAAATTGAAAGAAATATATTACAGAAATTAAGATCACTTCACTTGACTCTTACTCTACGTGTTTTCGCATTGTTAAACCTATCTACAATAAAAACAGATCCAGAAAATGTTTAAATAAATTATAGATAAGTAAATAAATTAAAAAAAGTGTATGTGGAAATACATTGTACCTAAATGATGCTTGGACAATCTGTTGAATCCAGTAAAATTATTTAAATATAATCATCAAGATATATTGTACGTAGAACAACACTCCTGCAAGCTAACCAACATTGAAAAGTAAACACTTCTAGATCCCAGAGTTCAAAGAATAAGAAATTACAGACTAAAAAAATACACTAACAGTTCAGTAAATGAAGTATTTGAAAATTTGAAATATTACAAGTCTCCAATAAATATGTTGTTTTTCACCTTGAGTTTTGATTTTATTTTTTTATTGGTTCATCCATGTTTTGAAATTTTTTTTAATTTATTTGTCCAGCACAATTTATTCTTTCAGTCATAAAGTAATCTTTAATGAAACATTAAAGCATTAAAAAATATTAACGCACCGAACGTCGGTATAAAAAAATGCTAATCAATGAGTCGAAACAAAACATTCAAAACATGGGATTATATGAAAGGATTTCGAAACAAAACAATCGAATAATAGCATCATTGTTAATTTCATAAAAAAAAAATAGAGATAGTGAAAGACTGAGCTGAGAAAATTTGTTAAAATTGAAAGAGAAAGAGAGGGATTTTTTCCATGGGGATGCAAATGGGGCCATGATTGAGTGTAGTGTGATATCTTATGGTGTCATGAAAAATAATTTTATATTATATAATTTTTAAAACAAATAATTTAATAATATTATTAAAATTTTATTTTATATATATATATTAAAAAAAGTTTCTTTAAATTTGGGAGGGTGGTGGCCCCCTAAATCCGCCTCTTGTTTCAATAAACTTTAGACAAAGTTATTTAAAACCTTATATCTTAACTGTATTGTGTTCTAAAATTTTAAAATTTATTCTATCCGTTTATCAAAAAAAATTACCGTGCATGCATGCCCACATATTCCGTATTTGTTTCCGTATTTCAAAGAGCTATATGAAATATGCGTAATTTAAAATATAAAATAAAAATATAGAAACAACAAAAATTTGCTTGAGAAAAACTTTATATACCAAGAATATAGATAAATTTCCGTTTATCTTTAAAACTATACGTTATTAGCTAAAGCTTTGTACCCTAATGTCTTACAAATCTATGAAATACTAAATTATATCAATTAGCCGAATCATATTGAAATAATAAAACAAAGATAACAACATATCTTATTTTTGGAGTCGACGACTTTGTTTTATCTTATATTATTTTCAGTTCTGTTTATGTTTTGTTTTTTTATTTGTTATCATTATAATTACTTTTTCTATATAATAAATCATTGACTTAATGTTTCTCAAGTTGTAGAAGATAATTAATTTATCTCCTATACATATATAAAAATGTGCGGTGTCTATATTTTTATTTTCTCTTTTTTTCATATGGCCTCATACACTTTTACAACATGAGAAACAATAATCTCGTAAACTTAGAGTTGACAAAATGTAAGCCGCTACAAATGGCGAGTTGGGTTGGGATTTCCATCCCGCCAACCTGCTTCAACCAGTCTCTTTTAAGGGCGGGTCAAAACGGGTTCAACTTGTGGCGAGGCAGGTTAATTTTTTATTTTAAATAATAATAATTATTATGATATTTCTTATATATCTTTTGTCTTCATTTGATACCTTTTACATTTGTGGGGAGTATAAATTAAAAAAAAAATCACTTTTTTAATATATTGATGAGTTGGCAAGGCGGTACGGGATAAAATTTTCAATTCATTTTCAAAAGTAAGGCAGATTGGATTATTTTAAGGTGGGTTGGAGGTGGGGCGGGCCATGTTACCCGCTTTGCCACCTCTTTATTTTACCCTTTTTTGTTTTTATCTTAAGATACATTATTTTAGCCTTTATAGTCATTATTAAATATCAGTTTTCCAAAAGTAAGTTTGGATAAGTATACTAAGCGAGGTGTATTGCTTTAGAATTTTGAAAAAAAAGTTTTTATAGATTTTAAAAGACTATTTAGAATTAGACTGACTTTAAAGACTTTTTAAAAAGATTTTTTTTTACAGTCAAGATTTCATAAGATTGAATTTTAAATGATTTTAATAGAATTTATAAGATTTGAAAAGATAATATTGATTTATAAGATTTTAAAAACAATATGAATTTATAACAAATATTCAAAATTACAAGAGTCAATTAAAAAATAATAAAGAAATGCAATGATATTAATAAAAAAATCAAAACCTAATATAATTTTCTCAATCAATAAAATATAATATAACTTTTAACAAACATTCAAAATTACTTAGCAATAATTCTCCATATATCTAAAATTATACTAGTCCTTCATGCATTAGCATTTTCTCGTTCATGCTATTGGGTTTGACCAATGAGTTAAAAATTATCTTCTTCATTTGGTACCAAAGCTATGCATGTATGATTATAACACCCAATTTTTATTTATTTATTAAAATAATTCTAAATTTACATATAGAACCTAAAGTTCATGATAAAATTTTGTTTGAAATTTTTTGCAATTGATCTTGGAAACCTTGGAGTTTTTGTTCTAAGTGATGAGAGTTTTCTAACCATATATCATATGCATGTTTTCATTTAGTATTTTAAGAAAATTTCGAATCTAAATTTTTGAGTTTTATTACATGAAAGTTTAGAAAAAATTTCAAATTATTTTCAATCGATACATTAAAATTTTAAATTATTTTGGGGCATTTGAAAAACAAGTTTTTAGTTATCTATTGATACAAAAATTGTTTGAAATCATTTCCTATAGCGAAGGAATTTAGTTCATGAATGTAGTGTTACGAAATATAGGGTTTATATTATGAAAGTTTCAATCTTTCTTTAAATTGATCTTGTTTCATTGATGTAAAATGAAAATTGGTTTAAGGGTTTTATGTTATTTTGAATACAAAAATCATACCTTTATATGCCAAGAAAAATCGTGGCCCATAGCTTGAAAAATTATTTTTTAAACTTCCAAAAGCTCTCAAAAAAATCTAATGTCTGAGTTGTTTTGTGATGAAAATCGCTCAAAAATATGCTATTTTTTAGCTTTGACGAAGCTCCCATAACCCGATTTTTAGCGGGTCAACCCATCAAAAGAAGAAGAAAATAGTGCAATAGAGAAATCTCAAGAAATCCTAGGGGTTAGGGTGAGATTGTGAGAGAGGCATCCTATATATTTCTCACTAAGAAATCTCACGAAATCCACACCAATAGAAAATCCATTATAATCATCAGATTTTTGAATACCACAAGATTGTTTTTCCTTTGTTTAAAATCCTGATTGAATACCGACGTATTTGGATGGACTCTAAAATAATCTTTTAAAATCCTAATCGAATATCACATCACTTTTTTTCAATCCTTTAAAATCCTAATCGAATACCAATGGATTTTTTGTCCAAAAACAATCCATTAAAATCCTTTGAAATCCCAATCCAATACACCCCTAAAAATGTTCTATAATTAGTAACATGGGTGTTATGATCTGATAGATCATAATGTCCAATCATAGATTGGTATGTTAATATTGGATCTGTTTACCCTCCCCCAGGTACCTATAGGAGAGGTACCCTAAAGATAGGCGCATCACTGTGCACTATAGTATAACGACATAGTCAAGGCGTGGGGTGTGTGCACAGTGACAAGCTAAGAGAGAGGGTTTTTAGTCTGTGTACCTTATTGGTTTAACCCCGTATTTATAGATGGGTTACCTGAAGGAGGGTACTTCTGGGCCTCTTAGGAATATTGGGAACCCAAGTCCAACTGCTTAGCTGTCTGGATAGGATCGTCATCAATAGGAGATTCCCTTCCCTTTGTGTTGTCCTTTATTGGTCCTTCTAGAATATGAGCCTTTGTCAGGTCCATAACAATGGGGTATTGGGATTTCATATTTAATAATCTCCTTGAGGGTATTTAAATTACGACTAATAATATGATATAAGGTTCGATCAGGTGTCCAAATTCACGATTATATGATGAAAGGTTCGATCAGGTGCCCCTAATTAGGGTGGTAAACGAACCAGGGGCCTTTGGCTCGGCTCGTGAAGGCCTGGACTCACGATTATATGATTATATGTCTAAAATTGGTTGTTGGAATCAGACTTAGACTTGTATCAAAGTTCGTTTAATAAAAAAGCCTCAGACTCCAATTTCGAAAGCTCGGCCTTAGAGCCTCCCAGGCTGACCTAGTATATTAATTTTTATTTTATATTTTTTATACTATTTTTAGTATCTCTCTCCTCAATCCATTTCACCCCATTTTATGGTTAAACAGATTTTTTGAATGATTTTGTTCTATATTATGCTATTTAGATGTACATTAAATTTATGAATATTATGGAATTACTAGCTGTTGATTGTATCTCTTGTTTGGATAAATTTTTGTTGTCTTATTTTTTTTAAACAGGCTAAACAAAGCTTTTATTTTTTTGTAAATAAGTGAGGACACAGGCTAATAATTATATTCATAACAAGTAACAGGCTTGGTCAGACTTACACATTTAAACACAGACTTAGCATTTTAAGACCAAAAACCAAAACTATAATTATATTCAAAACAAGTAACAGGCTTGATCACATTTAAACACAGACTTAGGCTTTTAAGACCAAAGCTCGGCTCGGCTCAACCCGTTAACGCCCCTACCGCCGATACTCATTGAATAAGAATAACAATTATGATGAAAATAACCTAATATATATAGCTTCGTAGACAATAAATCATAAGATTATTTATTTGTCTTGCTCTTTCAGCCATCACATATACTTTCTTTCTTTCTCTTGCTCCCTAGAGTTTTCGTTCTTTATGAAACAAATAACGTAGCAAGAAAGCACCTCGCAAACATTTGTAATGGAGTCAGAATTCTCAACCGAATTGCAATCCAAAGCCTTCGAGGTTCTCAGTTCCGATGACAACACTGCCATGGAAACACTCTTTTCACATCTCTTCTCTCACCAACACCAATCTCATGCAATCACATTCCTCCAATGCTGCATGCACCACCACCCCGATCTCCTCTTCATCAAGCTCTTCTTCCTCCTACGCTGCAGCCCTAATCTCGACACGCGCGCAAACGCCGCACGCGCCTTCCGCTTCGTTAAACCCTCCGAACTCTGGCCCAAGCTAAGACCCGTGGCCCAGGCCCGTCTCAAAGCCCACTTCATCGATTACCTCACTGAAGAAACTTCAATCCAAGTTCTCAGACTCGCTTCCGTCGTCCTCGCTGAAACCGTTTCCGTTGTATACAAAACTCATCAAAACTGGCCTGAGATTCTCGAATGGGTTATGTCGTCTGTCGCTTCAAACGACGACAAGTTTCGTGAAGTCGCGCTGTTGGTTTTGTCTTCGTTGCCAAACGATTGTCGTTTTCTTATTTCCGATGCTCTCCGCGACCGCGTCCGCGTCTTTCATTCGTCGTTTTTGAGTTCTCTGGCTTCGTCGAACCCTAACGTTCAGGTTGCGTCGTTTGGTGCGGTTGTGAGTTTGGTTCGGTTGTTCTCTGATCCTTCGCTGTTCCACGAGCTCTTACGCGCGATGATGGTTGGTGTGTTCACACTCTTGCATGGTTTCGAAGGTACCTATTTTCGAAGCGCGTTCGCTGAGTTGATAAATTTGGTGTCGCAAGAGCCTCTTCTGTTGAAGCCTTACGTGAGTGACATGGTTCTCGACGTGCTTCAGATCGCGGAGAGTGAGGGTTTGAGCAAAGAAACGCACCGTTTGGCGTTTGAGTTGGTTATGGCCATGACGGAGTTAAAAGAGTACCGTGAACACGTGTTGCTGAACCTTCCTTCTGATACTGTGGTTAGGTTGTTCCACATTCCAATGAAAATGTTACTATCTATTAAAGAGGATGGTGTTGGTGACCATGACCGTGACTTTGGAATAAAGTGTTTGAAACAACTTTGTGTCACACTTGGAGGGAGTAAAGTATTGCATTTAATTGTTTATGAAGTGTTGCCTCTTTACTTGGATGACACGGAATGGAAGAAGCGCCTTTCGGGAATTACATTGCTTAATGTGATTGCAAAAGAGTTCTCAGATGAAATGGTGACCTCATCTTAACATTTTCTTATATATAGAAATTGTTGTTATCTTAGTGGTTGTTTTCTTCAATATCACTGTCTAACCTTTTTTGTATACCTACATTTGTGCAGGTATTGATGGAAAATTTTCAAGGGGAAGTGCTGAACAAAGTTTTGAAGACATTCCAAGACTCCCATGTTCAAGTTCGGTTGGCAGCTTTTAATTTTATGGAGATGCCTACAAACTTTGTCCAGGCGGCGCAAATCCTTTATCATCATAGGCTTGTGCATGCTTTTTCCATTGCACTTGACAGTGATCAGGACTGTAAAGTGAAGGTACTGTAGATGTGAAATTGTGAATTGAGTACTGGTTTCATGCTAAAGCTGTTTACTATAATTTAAAAATTCCACGATCCTTAGATAGTTGCTTCATTGCCCTGAAACATAAATACAGAGGAAACACTCAGAAGTACTTCTATACTCACTGTTTGACTGGATTAATTCAGTTTTTGATTCACTTCATATCCAGATGTAGACATTTGAATGAAGATATCTTAATGAATTTCATAGTAGTTTTTTGTATTGCCAATCCTGTCCATATAAACATATGTAACATCACTAGTAGTTATACCTCCTCTCATTATAATCAAGATGCATACCCTACTATTTTGACATATTATTTTTCAAAAGCCTATGATGCTTTTAATTTTGAAAAAAGGGGGTGTGGTTTTTTTTTTTTTTTTATGCTTTTAATTTTGAAAAAATATTTTCTCCTACAGATATGCTTTGTTTACTATGAATCTTTTAGTGTGTATAAGAAGCCATGGGACATTATGGAAAATTATTTTTCCCTTTTGATTTTTTGGATTTCTACCAACACAAATGATCTTTATCACCAGCATGTGTCTTCTTTATCTCGTTGTCAAACATGTCTTATAAGTTAATAATCTTATGTTGTTTTTCTAGGAACAAGCTGCCTCAGCAATGCTATTCTTTCTAAAGAACACTCTTCCAGAGAGCTTAACATTGAACAAGAATGTGGATACCATAATGAGCAAATTGTTGTCAATGCTTAAGGTAAAAATTACATTATTATATTATGCATGATTTCAGTGTCTGTAGAAAGTCACCATATAGTTTATTATTACTAATTTTGGAGAAAATGTCATTCCTACATTTTTTTTTCTTGAAAGATTTTCCTTTTGAATTCCCACCATTATGATCTGTTTATTTGATGTTTTTCAGCCATCTGCTTGCTGCAGGGTAAAGAAAGTGCTAAGCAAAGAAGTATTGCCTTGTCAACTTTTAATATAGTTGCACAGCGGTGTCATGAAGTAGCTCCCAAGTAGTCTTTCTGATCTTCCTTTTGTCATTCTTATATGTTCGATATATTTATCAATATCATATAATGATCATACATGTTCTATATGTTTTTCTTGGTAGGTACTGTGCAAATTATCTTCCAATCTTACTAGAAGCATGTAATGACAAGGATTCTGAAATCAAAGAGGTTTCCTGCCTTGTGCCGGATTGGTTTTATTCCTATTGCAGATATTCTGTATCCAATTATTTACTATGTCCCTTTTTCAGGAGGCAGCACGGGGAATTCGAATTTGTGCAGAGTTTGGAACACCTCAGCTGAAGCCTTTTGTCAATAGTATGCTTTTGTTCCATAATTCTCCCAAATCCCAATGTTATTGTTAATAGTATCACAACTAAGATATGTTTTCTGTCCTTTTTAGGGATATTGTCAGAAATCAGTGTTTTAATGAAAGATCCAAATCGATCACTTTCAGAGAATGCAAAAGCACATGATATTGCTGTTTCTGCTCTAGGAAGAATTTGTGAATTCCATCGTGACAGCATTGATGGCTCTAAGGTAATGTTTTCCTTCATATTGTTGTCTAATCGTTAGAGGTTATTGCCCTTTCTTCAGATCTTTCTGTAAAAAAAAAAAAAAAAGTCCAGTTTTAATATTTACATAGAAATGAACTCCACAATTTTATTTACCAATCCTTTCTGCAATCCAAACACAAGATTTATCCGAAGTAGTTCAAGTTTTGTCAGAACTAGAATCGACATTAAAATTCTAAAACTTCAATTCTGATTTTGTTGTCCACATAGAGCCTAATGTTTTCTAATAAGCATAGGACTGAATTCACCAGGTATATACACTGTCCCCTCAGAACATATTCTGGAATGTGAAACAGAATTTATACTTGTCCTATCAGGGAGGGTCGAAGTTGCTGAAGTGATGCCTTATTCTGAAATTTGAATTCAGTTGTATTTACTCAAACTTTGTATGATAAGTATTATTTATTGCTTGTCCCTTTTAACATAAGAAATAGCATGGAAAAGGAAGGCTGCTTTATAATTTCTGACATGGTTCTTACTGCACTAATAGTCGAAACCTAGCCAACAGATTTAATTACTGGTTTACTACTATATTTATGTTCAGGTAGAGCTAAGTTTCTTGATATCAGGATAGATATATTTGATCAACTTATGTATTTGTTCAATTGGTGGCCATAGTTAGAAAATGATGAAGAAGAAAGAACAATTTTGACCCCTATTATACTTGCAGATTGTTCCTGCCTGGTTAAGTTACTTGCCACTTAAAGATGATTTGACTGAAGCCAAAGTCATGCATGAACAACTTTGTGTAATGGTTGCAAGGTGAGTGTTTAAAAGTATCTTTTTGAATTCTTAGTTTTTCAATACAACAAGCAGGTTTGATTAACGGAATGCTTTAATACTTTTCAGATTAGATAAGGACCTTTTAGGAGCCGGTAATCAAAACCTTGTTAAGATAATTGCAGTGTTTGTGGAGGTGAGTTATCGACATGTATATACCTATTTGTTTGATTTCTCTTTGTTTTTTCTGTCAATTAAGAAATGTTTAAACACTTGACAGCTATCAATATTGTAGGCATTCTTGTTTAAAAGAATATCTAGGAAATTACTGGGTTAACATGACTCGTTGAAGTCACAAAATGTCCCCTTTTGAATGAATTTCTATGCTGCATGAATTAGATTATAGATCAACTTTACTATTGCTTTTTGTTTTTTGTTATGAAAAGACTTGGATATGCTCTAATGCTCTAATTTCTTACACTATATAAACATGATTCTTTAATTTTATTGAATATTGATCACTTTATGTGTGCCCTTATATCTGGTTGAATATAATTTTATTACAGGTTATTGATAAGGGTGACAAATTAGCTACAACACAAACAATCAAGCAGATGAATAATTTGCTGAGGCAGCTTGGGCGACAGATTCCTCGTAGTGCGCTTGATACAATTTTATTGTCTTTGAATGCCAATCAACGGCAACTATTATTGCCTTTGGTATCCTCTTAGTAGTTTTACTTTTATAGAAAAAAGATGTATAGTTTTGTGAAAATATTGAACAACAAATCTTCATTTGAAACTTTGAAACTCTGTTAGATGTTAGTTTGTTAGGATTTTATGTTAGCCTATTGTAACAGCTAAGTATGATTTGTTATAGCTGTTTTCTTTGTAACAATTTGTACGTTCCTATGTCTATTTATATGACCTCTGGGAAATTAATAAGGCAGATCAATACAAACCATTATGCAAAACATATCTTCCGCTTCTAATATGGTATCAGAAGGTACAATCCAGGCCTCCTAACCTATCAAGCGTACAACCTTGTTACCTAATTTAAAACCCACCCACACCACCACCATGACTTCCGAAACAAATCCAAACACAACTCAACCCAACCCTAATACATCTGAAACCAGTAACACCACTGAGTCGTCTGGCCCCAACACAACCTTAAAAACTACAGATCCTCGTTCTCCTTTTTATCTCTCCCCACCAGGCGTTCTTCTCACCAACATATTGCTACGCGGTGACTCAAATTATGACACATGGAGCAGGGCCATGAAAAACGCGTTTGATGCCAAAAACAAGTTGGGGTTTGTCCTTGGTTCCATCCACGCTCCTTCCGACGTTATTTCTGATGAAGGTCAGGCTTGGAGAATGTGTAACTCCATGATATCTGGATGGATTCACAATACTATCGACCCACAACTACGTCATTTCATCAAATATTTTCCAACTGCTAAACAACTTTGGGATGATCTCAAGGATAAGTATTCTGTGGCCAACATTCCACGTATCTATCAACTCAAAAGTCTCCTTCCCAACATCAAACAACAAGGTTCTTCCATCAGTTCATACTACACACGCCTTCGTGCCATTTGGGATGAACTTGAGGAACACTACACATCTGACCCGTGCTCAAATGGGGATCAATGTCCTGTTACTAAGCTTCTTAACAGTATTATCACCAACGATCAAGTGTATCAGTTTCTCATGGGTCTTGATGAAGCAACTTTTGGTATCATCCGCTCCCAAATCCTTAACACCAATCCATTACCTTCCTTAAATCGCGTATATTCAATGTGTAAGACCTCATTCTAGAACCGGTTTGTTAACATCGCATTATGATATTAAGCGCAATTACAATCACATTGGCTCAATTAAAATTCCGGATAAATTTTTCTTTTTAAAACGATGCCGGATTTAAAATATCCAATTGCGTGATCATAACCATATTACTTTGCGGAATCAGATAAACCAAGCTTAACATCATGTTCTTATTCCATTTATAAACCATTAATTTACTTCTTATTTATTTCCCAACTTCTACTATATTGTAGATCTCTTCGTTAGCTACGCGTGGTTTCAAACCGCTCCTCATTTGGAGCTCTGTAGCTCAAGTTATGACGATTTTACTAACTCAGGTGTATGCTGAAAAACTACGCGGGCAGGGCGCTTAAGCGCGCTCCAGGGCGCTTAAGCGCCCACAGACAGAGGGAATTTACATTTTTTTTTGCCACCAAGGGCGCTTAAGCGCTCTCCAGGGCGCTTAAGCGCGCTACCTGGGCACTGATGTAATGTCCCACATCGGTTGGAGAGGGGAACGAAGCATGCCTTAAATAAGGGTGTGGATACCTTTCCTTGTAGGAGGCCTTTTGCGGGGGTAACCCGAAACGTAAAACCGTGAGCTCGACGGTGCTTGTGCACGGGGAAAAGCGGACAATATCCTGCTACCAGGGTTTGGGGCTGTTACATTTGGTATCAGAGCCTGGCCCTGGACCGGAGTGTACAGCGGGGACGCTATATTCCCAGTGGGGGAGGATGTAATGTCCCACATCGGTTGGAGAGGGGAACGAAGCATGCCTTAAATAAGGGTGTGGATACCTTTCCTTGTAAGAGGCCTTTTGGGGGGTAACCCGAAACGTAAAACCGTGAACTCGACGGTGCTTGTGCGCGGGGCAAAGCGGACAATATCCTCCTACAGGGTTTGGGGCTGTTACACAATGGCCACTCAGGAGGAAACTCACAAAACCATTATCCGTTCCTCACCTGATCGAGTTGATGCTGTTGGTTATGCTCTTCAAACTAAACCCCATGCACCATCTACTGTCAAGGCAGCAACCCAGGTTCGCATATGCTCTCATTGTGGTCGTCCAAATCATGACGTATCCAGGTGCTTCTTTCTCCATGGTTTTCCTCCAAAAACACCAGGACGTGATCGTTTCAAACCAAAAATCACTCCTGCCACAGCTAATGCCGCAATCTTGCCTACGCCTTCAGCAAATAATGTTGCATCTCCATCAACAACTCTAACTCCAGAAGTGGTACAACGCTTGCTTTCTCTTGTAGACAAGCCAACCAACGAATCACAACTTTTAACTGGTAATGTTGCTACTCCATCTTGGTTAATAGACAGTGGAGCCTCTCAACATATGACATGTAATATTAACCTGCTTAATAATCCTGTCCACATTGCTCCATCTCAAGTTGGCTTACATGATGGCTCTACCACGCTTGTTATTCAAGCGGGCATTGTCTGTCTAGCTCCGCAGTTAACATTGCACAATGTTTTGCATGTTCCTAATCTCACATGCAACTTGATTTCTGTATCTCAGTTATTATAGACATCCTCTACCATTGTCACATTTAATAAATTCACATGTTTTCTGCAGGACCTCACCCAGAAGATGCTGATTGGATTGGGTAAATTGGTCAATGGAGTATATGTGTTTCAACAGTCCAAGCATCAAGCTCTTGCAACTCAAGCCGACACTACTTTGTGGCATCGACGTTTGGGCCATCCTTCAAATGCAGTTTTTTCATTAATTCCTTGTATTCCTTTTAATATTAGCAACAATAAAGTTGATGTTTGTGATGTTTGTTGTCGAGCAAAAATGACTCGATGTCCTTTCCCTTTAAGCAATAATAAAACCAATGATTGCTTTCAACTTGTGCACTGTGATGTGTAGGGACCGTATCGTCCGTCTACAATTACTGGAGCTCATTATTTTCTCACATTGGTTGATGACTATACTCGTACTACATGGGTTTATCTTATGGCAGAAAAATCAGAAACCCACAGATTGATCACACGTTTCCTTGCTATGATAAAAACACATTTTGGCAAAATGGTCCAAGTATTTAGAACCGACAATGGAACTGAGTTTCTTTCCCAGTCTATGCACGAGTTGCATTCCAACTTTGGGATAGTTCACCAAATATCTTGCATTGACACCCCTCAACAAAATGGACGAGTTGAGCGAAAGCATCGAACAATTCTCAATGTTGCGCGAGCTCTTCGATTTCAAAGTAACCTATCGGTTAAATTTTGGGGAGAATGCATTCTCACCGCTGCCCATCTTCTCAATCGCACACCTAGCAAAACCCTTGGTGGCAAAACTTCCTATGAAATTGCTTTATGGACAGCCTCCTTCATATGCTCATCTACGTACGTTTGGTTGCTTGTGCTATGCCTTGATTCGTCCCAAACCTGCTGACAAGTTTGCTAATCGTTCCACAAGATGTGTGTTCCTCGGCTATCCATTTGGAAAGAAAGGTTGGAGATTAATGGATCTTGAAACCAATAAGATTTTTGTCTCGTGATTTTCGCTTTCAAGAATCAACATTTCCATTTGATGCAGACTCCACATGTGGTCCACCCGAGCCTACTCATGAAATGCAATTACCTTCCTCTATACTCCCACTTAATCACCACCCTTTGGAAGACATACCTCAAACTCTTCCACACAATCATTCTTCCTTTGTTCTTGATAACATACAAAACCCCACATCACCTGACAGGGGGAGTACTTGTCCTCCACAACCTATTGAAGACACCCTTTAAAGTGATCCCTCGTCAGAAAATTCTCCACAAGACCAAGCTACATTGTCTCAGCCTCAAAGAAGTCGTCGTCCTCCACGTTACTTGGATGATTATTCTTGCATCATGCACAAACACATATACTCCATCCCAAGTCTCCTATTCCATCCGCATCTTCAGGAGTAAGGTACCTCATTGAAAACTTTATCTCATATAAACCATTTACTTCAAAACACACACATTTCATGGCAGCTTTGTCTACAGGAGTTGAGCCAAATTCTTATAAAGAAGCCGCAACTGATGAACGTTGGTGTGAAGCCATGCAAGCTGAAATTAAAGCTCTACAAGATAATAAAAGATGGACCTTAACAACTCTTCCTCCAGGAAAACGTGCCATTCCATGTAAATGTATTTATCGTATCAAATACAAATCCGATGGCACTGTGGAAAGATTTAAAGCTCGTCTTGTAGTAGCTGTAAACCACCAAGTTGACAGTGAGGACTTCACGGAGACCTTTGCTCCGGTCACTAAAATGGTGAGTGTTTGTACTTTTCTATCAGTTGTTGTTGCCAAAAACTGGGATATTCATCAATTAGATGTCCACAATGCTTTCCTCCATGGTGATCTCAATGATGAAGTATATATGCGCCTTCCTCAAGGTTTTCATGTTGTCAGTCCATACCAAGTGTGTCGACTATGTAAATCCTTATACGGTTTGCGTCAATCTCCTCGTAACTGGTTCACAAAGCTGTCTTCCTATCTTCTCAACTATGGATTTGTTCAATCCAAAGCAGACTATACTCTATTCACTCTCACACGAGGAACTACATTCCTAGCTGTGTTGATTTACGTCGATGATATTCTTCTAGCAGGAAATGATGCAGAAGCTTGCTGCAAACTTAAATCCTACATGAACTCTTGTTTTCAAATTAAAGACTTGGGTCCACTTAAGTATTTCCTAGGGATCGAGTTTGCCCGCAATTCTACTGGTTTGTTCATGTCACAACGTAAATATGCCACTGACATCCTCAGCGAGGCTGGGTTACTTGGATGCAAGCCCACTGATAGTCCAATCGAACAAAACCACAAGCTAGCTACTGTTGATAGTCCTGACTACAATGATCCTACCAGATATCGCCGGCTCATAGGAAAACTGGTATATCTGACTATTACAAGACCAGAAATTTGCTATGGTGTTCATATCCTCTCCCAGTTTATGCAGAAACCAAAACAAGAACACTACAATGCAGTTTTGCAGTTACTTCACTATGTGAAAGCCAATCCTGGCCAAGGCCTTTTGCTGTCATCTTCTTCTGACCTTCAACTCTATGCTTACTGCGACTCGGACTGGGCTAGTTGTCCTATCACTCGCAGATCACTCACTGGTTTTTTCATCCAACTTGGTTCATCTCCAATCTCTTGGAAAACCAAGAAACAACCTACAGTGTCTAGGTCCTCAACTGAAGCAGAATATTGTGCTATGGCATGTGCAACTTCTGAATTAATATGGCTAAAATCATTTCTTGCGTCTTTGGGCGTCCTCCAATCATCCCCTATGAAATTATTTTGTGATAGCCAAGCTGCTTTGCACATTGCAACAAATCCTGTATTCCATGAGCGGACTAAGCATATCGAATTGGACTGTCATTTTGTACGTGATCATGTTCTTAGCAAGACGATTTCCACTGCACATATTGCTTCTGTTGACCAGCCTGCGGATATCTTTACCAAAGCATTGGGGAAGAAGTAATTCCATTATTTACTGTCCAAGTTGGGTATTTGTCACCTTCATACTCCAACTTGAGGGGGAGTATGAAAATATTGAACAACAAATCTTCATTTGAAACTTTGAAACTCTGTTAGCTGTTAGTTTGTTAGGATTTTATGTTAGCCTTTTGTAACAGCTAGGTATGATTTGTTATAGTTGTTTTCTTTGTAACAGTTTGTACGTTCCTATGTCTATTTATATGACCTCTGGGAAATTAATAAGGCAGATCAATACAAACCATTATGCAAAACATATCTTCCGCTTCTAATAAGTTTTTTTTACGGAAGAAAAAATGTATAGTTGATTTCGTTTTGAACATAATAAGATCATTGGCCTTTGAGTTAAGAGGATCTGAAAATTGTTTCATAAAATCCTTACAAAGGTTTTGGGAATAGAATTTGAGTTAGATTTTACCATGAACATCGAATGAACTAAAAGATAATAGTAATGAACTAACTACCTGAACCTCCCGACTCCTTTACCTTAATCTGTTTTATTTCTAATTTCATAAGTTAAAATGATTTAAGGATTTAATGTTTTGTAGGAGATAAATTTATTTTTTATACATACATAAAAGTATGTGAGATGTATATTTTTTTCTTTTTCTTTTTTCTTCTCGCATGAGTTCCATATAATTTTATGTATGTATAGAAGATAAATTTATCTTCTACAAAAACATTAAAACACGACAATTTCTGTTAATCTAAATTAAATATGAATTAATCTAAAAACGTTTATTAAAAAATTTTAATCTGACTTAACCAACTCAAAATCTAATCTCTCTCTTTTTTATCTTATAAACTATCACCTAGCTAGAGAAAAAACTATCATCTTATCATCTTTTAATTAAAGAATTAAAACTCAATTAGCCAGTAAGTTAATAACCTAGATAATAGGATACCCAAAAAAAAAAATTAAAAAAATAACCTAGTTAATTTGTCTTTAACACTAATTATTCAAACTTCTTAGTTTTAATTAATTTGAATTTAAAAAAAATAAATTTATAGAATTACAAATAAACTAAATTGACCATCACCATAAGGCCGACAAAAGACTAAAAATATGTTCAGCCCAATTTAACCCTTATATACACGCACGAGCCAGTTTTGAAAGCTCCCAATATACTTTTGACCATGAACAATTTAAAAGAGAAATTATAAAAAAGGAGAAAACAAATGCATTCATCTCACTTGTAACAAGAGTAAATCTTATCTGTATGTACAAAATTATACTAAGTAGCATTGAACAAGATCTTTGCTTTGATTGTCATCGTACAATTATAGTACTGTCCCTTGCCATGGCCGGATGACCCTCAAAGCGCAATGGTTGGAAAATAGTAAAACAGACCAACACCTAAGAACTATGTTGTAAGGACATCGATACGGGACACGAGATATGATATGATACTTTGACACATTAATTTTTAAAAATGCTAAATTTTGATATATTAGAACACGTTTAGATATTAAATAATATTTTTAATTTATGTAATGTATATTATATTTAATATTCGATAATTTAACAAAAAAAAATAAAATTAATCTTATAATAACCATCAATTTTGCTTTAAATTTAATAAAATAATAATCATAATCTAATGAATTTAATAGTTGAACTAAAAAAGCAATGCAACGCAATCTTCGAACCCTTTTTTTGAGTCTTTGCAATACATGTTGGAGAGTCAGAGAGTGTCAAAAAGTGTCGGACACGACACATCAAATTTTTTGAAGTGTCGATACTTCGTACCGAAGAACATTATTGCTTTCTTTGGAAGATTAATAAAAAACAGAATGTTAAAATGATAACCCAGTTATTTACACGTATTGTTACTGCTTCCTGCAAAATAATCATCATAATATTTCTTCTAATAATGAAAGGAGTTACTAATCATGGTGCTTGAGATAGTTTTCTCATGTGTGTTAGATAAATATGTGGAGTCCATAATTTAAAACAAAAAGAAAAAGAAATAAAAAAAACTGTCACAAAATTTGATGAGTGTATGACATGAGATATCTATCTTCAACGAAATGAGAAAATTTTTCCCAATAATGAAAACATCAACAGAGATTGCAAATTAACACGGGCATAAATGAAGAATAAAAAAAACAAAAATCACCCTAGACATGAACAAAACCAAGATTCTATAACATTCTATATTAAGAATAGAAGAGGCTTTTGTTCATTCTGTCATGTCATCCTCATCATCTTCGTCCTCTAGATCAAGATCAGCCAGCAACTCCTCCAATGCAACAGAAGGTAGCTCTTCACCAGCAGTCACTGATGCAATCTCTGATGGCTGGTACTCTTTATTTCGGTACAATGATATGTTAAACCTCATATCAGGGTTTTCTTCAAGATCTTTCAAGAATTGTTCATATTCTGAGTTCATCTTGTTTTGTTCAACTCTACCCTTGTTATCATCAACCTCCATGTCAAGTGATTTAAGCTTCCATGAGCGAGGCTTACCACGTTTTTTCTGGCGCTTCTCTTCATAACTCTTCTTTATTAAGATTGCATCAGGAAGAACAAGTCCTCTGTACTTGTCCAATTCAATGTCATTACTGTTAGCCCTATACAAGTCATAACCAAGAGCATAATCACCAGGACTTAAAAGATGGCCTAGGTGAGTCCTGATTGAAAATATTGTGCCATTCTTTCCAAAATCTGACACGCGAGCCATTTGTGCATCTGCCAAAACATATTTTGTGCCACCAATAGTAACCTCAGATGAAACAGCCTCCACATCTAACACAATATATTCCACTAACTGTCTGCTAGTAAGTAAAGACTTGAAGGATGTCCTCCAGTACTGATCAGCATCTAAGAAGCAGTGCCTTAGGGTAAATGGATCAAGCAAAGCAATGTTGTTGGTAACCTTAGTACAAATCACAAGAGGACCAAGATTTCCCAAACTAACAGCAACTTTAGGATGCAGACAAATTATATCCTCACGGCAAATGGGGCTGATTTCAACAGAAAATGTATATTTGTAGTTGTAGTTGTTACTCTTTGGATCATGAGAAACAAGTTGCTTATCGTGACGGCTCCTCACAGGAGCAACTTTCCCAACAAAGTTCACAAATTTGACACCATGACTTCTATTAGAGAAAAAGAAATCAATACCTTGATCCATCTGTTTGATTCTTATAGCACTAGCAGCAGCACCATGCTTCAGAATCATCTGTTCCAAATAAAAGAAAGTGCGCCGATGAGAAACATGTTGCCTGAGTTGCACAGCAGCAACCCACTGGTGAGGGTTAGCCTTGTTAGGTTTAGTATGCTCTTTTCACTTAAGCTCAATAGCTTCAGTGAGAGTGAGCCCAAAGTCCAATGTTAACCCATGAAGCTTAGGGTTAGTTTTGGATTGGGCAGACTATATAAACTCTCTTTTCTCTCAAGTGCTTCCTAGGGTTACAGACATCAGAAACACACCTAAGAGGCAGACGTTCATCATCTGAACAGTTGCCCACATGACCACCTGATCCCCTTGAGTCATAGCCTGGAAGATCAACCGTAGAGCGGAATTGCGACCGTTCGTAGTAGTGCGTTGCTGCAGATCGTGAGACTTGAGGAGGAGAACTGAACGTGAGAAATTGTTGGCACGTTCGCTGCTTCATCTCAGGTAATCAAAGCGGTGTTCTTCATTCCTCATCGCATCGGTACGTACGTACGATGCGCTTCCGCGTTTCTGATGATATACCTTCAAACCTGGACCCTAGAACAAGACTGAGACATATGTTCCTGTTGAAAATACTCCACAGTATAAGATTGTTCAAGAATAGCTCCATTCAGAACCTCCTTCTGAACTTTGACATTGACTTTTATCCTCTTGGAGTGGGGCTCAGTCCAAATAAATTCGGCGTGAACCATCCTTACTTTATTGGAGCTTAAATTCTTCTGCAATTTTTTCAAGCAAAATGTTAGCAGCTCCTTTGATTCTAAATGTAGTTTAACCCAACTTCTGGGTGGCTGCAAGTAACTCTCACACTCAGGGCAATGGACAAGCACTAGACGCTTCAGTAATCCTTCTGTGATATCAACTTCTGAGCGCAAACACTTCACACACATATTGGCAGCATTTGGTTGCATTGGAATTCCACATTTGCAACACAAAACACTGCCGATTGTTTGATGAATCATGAACATACCAGCTTCTTCTGCCATTCCTGAAGGACCTAACATAGTATTCTCCTATTGGAAAAGGGGAAAAATTACATAAGTATGCATATCGGAAAATTAATAATAAACAATAAAGAAAGGGAGTTCTGAAAAAGAGGAAGAAGAGACAGAGGAAACAGGAAATAGCTTGAAATATTATGCAAAGTACACTATTCGTTTAAGAATCCATAGTAATCGTTCTCCAGCCATTGAAATATTATAGACATTGGTGAGAAACAAATGCACATGTACTAGCCTCGAAAACCTTTTCCGCCTATAACATGCATGTCAAAAAGTATATATTCATAGAAATGATTGCTGGAAAGCAATAAACAGAACATTCAACATAAGGGATTCAGAATACGAGCCCATGAGAGGAAAAGAGAGAGAAAGAGAAAACATAAGTCCCATAAACTTTTATACATCAACATCAACATCAATAACATTTTTATCCCAAATTAATTGAGGTCGGTGGTAGATGAACTCAAATGAAAGATACAAAAAGGATAAACTTTTATATATATAAAAAATAAATTTATCTCCCATGATATAAGCAACATTTAACCCATAGTTTAATTTAGTAATGTAACTTTGAATGCGTGATTTCATGACGTGAAAGATAAGGAACCATGTAACATATCTTTTTTTCTTTTGGTAAAAAAAGTAACATGCCCTAAATCAGGGGATATTAAATTTTAAACCGCCTCTAGATTGAGCCTCGCTTACAACTTTCTCCGCTTTCGGTGTCAGTTCCTGAATCAAAAACTTTGTTTGGCTTACTTCTCAATCATACTTATACACATAATCTCTCTACACCTTAATAACACCTCGTCCCTCTGCTCTCTTTTCACTTTCACTCACATCAAGCGTAACCCCAACGTTTGCACAACATCAACCAAGCAATAAGACCAATGCATTTAAAAATAATAATAATAAATTCAGCCCTTAATAAAAAAAGGTATATTACAGATAATTGAATCAAAGCAGAAACATAAAAGGTACCTGGTACTTGGTAGGCGTCTTCTAATAGCTCTGGTCTTCTTGGAACAAAGATTGAAAGGAAACTACTTCTTCTTGCAACAGTGACCATTTTGTCACCAGCGGCGAACAGTAAATTTTTTGTCAAAACATGACGTGGCATATTTCGCTACACACTGTAGCGAAATATGTGTATAAATAATTCGCTATACAGTGTAGCGAAATATGCCACGTCAAAACCAAAAATGTCACGTGTCAAAACTGTAGAAATTCGCTACCCTATATAGCGAATTTTTTCAATTTTGACACATGACATTTTTTGTTCTGAGTAGTCTAACGTGGCATATTTCGCTACACTATGTAGTGAATTATTTGCACACATATTTCGCTACACAGTGTAGCGAAATATGCCACGTGACATTTTGATAAAATTTACTGTTAACGTGACAATCTGGTAATTTTTTTGGCCAACAGTGACACTTTAGTCACTGTTCCTCTCCTTCTTGTAAACTTCCCTCAATGCTTAAAACCACGGGCTTTGACCTAAAATATCAAAACAAAATAACCATGGGCTTAAAACCCAATTGATTGTCCAATATTGGGCCCATCATCAGCCCAACACTTTGATTCTGCTCTTATCTCAAAAATATATAAATAAATATTTGTTTATTATTTAATAAATTCTCATTCACAGAATCGAGAGTTGTATGTTGTAACAAGTGTACAATGATGAATCAGCAGCCCCACGTGGAGGGTGAAGATGTAATATAAGGTGCCGACGTGCTTGTCGCTCTCTCACGTGTCGCTGTTGCTTAATTAATCAAGTCAAAATCCACAATATGGGACCCACTTGGATGCAGTGTGCTTTTAATCTCACACTCTCTTTTCCTTATTCTCTCGCTGCAACTGAAAATGGCGGAGAAGGTTAACGGCAACGGCGTCGAAGAAGAGATGTTGAAGAAGCACACAAAGGGAACGGAAACGGAGACTTTGCCGGAGGTCGTTAACCGTATGGCTTCCGCTATTTTGTTCCCTGAACCGGTGAACAGTGGATCCCTACTTCGCCGGATCAAGGCCTCCGTCGCCGACAACGCTCCTCTTCTTCCAGAAGCTTCTAGAAACTCCGCACACCACGTTCTCCTCTGGACTCGCCAAGGCAGCCCCCTCCGTGCCCTACTCGTCATCTCCGTAAGTGTTGATTGAATCGAGTTCAAAGCATTCGTAAATTGTAGATTCTTTTTTCAATTAAATATTTTTTTTTACAAAATTAAAAATTAAAAAATAAAACCGTTGTCAATCTGTTGGTTGAACCTATGAGTAGTTGAGTGACTTCACACTTGATGCTGAAACTGTGAATCATCAATGTTGATGCAATTTTCCTCTATGTGAAGGTTGTCAGAAGAGGAAGCATTTTGCAGAGTGAAGATCACTTGGAATTTTTTTTTTTTCTTGTTAGTTTGAGTTTGGAATTTTATGTTCCTTTTTTCAAATTTATGAAGGAAAAACTTTAAAAATGGGAAACAGAATCCAATCAAGGCTTTTTTTTTTATCATTATCAATGAAAAGATTATCTACCAAAGTGAAATTAGAAAGCAAATCAAACATCAGATTGGCAATAGAGGGTTTAAGTAAAGGTGTAACATTAAGATGCAAAATAAGCTAATGGAAAGGGACGCTTATGGAGGGCTTGTAATGGATTTGTTCACATGCAGGATAGAATCTTTAGAATTCAAAGCATGCAAGATGATATTTTTGATGATATTGAAAATGGGGGAAATCAGAAGGCCATGCATGATTGTCAGTTTTGATGTCGTTTAATCTTGCCCTATTTTAATCTTAATAATTATAATGAATCATCTTCTATACATTTCCAAAGTAAAAAAAAAAAAAACAGAAGTCTTTTAATTTGTTAGTTCCATAGATTTTTTTAGACAGAACACTCTTCTGTCTTCTGTATGATATTTATATTAAGGAAAAGGTGTATGATAAATTTATCTTTTGATTTGAATGTTTATGATTTGTTTTTCCTTATTGCTGCAGGTTGGATCCGTTACTTTTGTTGCTCTTACAGGACTGCTTGTATTTATGCTTTTCTTTCTGGCTGCGACCATAAATGCCATTGTCATATCGTTGCTGATGTCTTTGGCAGCAGCTGGAGGATTCTTGGCTCTTTTCTTTGCTTCTGTTACAGCTATATACATTGGAGCGTTATCACTAGCCATATTTGTAATTTCCGTTACTACATTTTGGGCAATTGTGGCTGTTCTGATAACCACAGGTAAAAAGTTGTTTGGCCAACTCAGCTTTTTCTCATTTACTGTCCAGATATCTTGTTTTAGGTTTGATGTTGTTTGCTATTACACTGTTATGAAAACTTCCATCACTTGTGTGAAATCCAATAGTTTGAAAACAGCTATAGACATAATATCTCTTCAACAAGATGTGCTTCTAAATAAGATTTGAAATGATATTAACTGCATCCTTTTGTTGCAATTAGGCAGACATTATTGCAGATCAATGACTACTAGTTTGTAGTCCTTCCCAGTGTAGAAAAGTACCTGTAGCCGTAAGATTAATTTTTTTCCACCTGCGGGACGCTGCATATGTATAAATGATCAAATGGAGATTTATAATTTTGCATACAGTTGTCCTAATAATAGGCATATCTTTTTGAAATAGACCACCTACTGAACTCCTAATGGGTACGGGTGATGTAATGGGTTAAATGTTCACTATTTGAATGTTACTGCTGTTGGCTGCTTAGCAGTCAAAAACAGTTGCCATTAGACCAGCGTTGCCTAGTGTGGTAGTTCCTTCCTCAGAATTTCAACATTATTTTTGTGAATATGACAACCACAAGGGAGTTTCTGTGATTTCTCTAACTTATATGCAACTGATTTTGTCCTTTTTATTCTAAAATATAAGATTCTGTAGACATTTCCTTGATGGATTCCTATAATGTTCCTCTTTGTTTTTCCCAAAAAAAATTCTTCTGTGGGTTAACACTGTAATGTTCCCTGGACATGGAAATCAATGTGAACCAGGCTGGATTGGATTCTTTTATACTGTGTGGCTGGTAACTAGAAAGAGCTTTGGATTTGCTAAACACTCACTGAGTGCGACTGGCTCTGCAATTTCAACTTACACTACTGCTCGGCATGCCCGCCACCGAGTACACAAAGATTCAGATTAAAGGATGATCACAAATATAAGCTTATGAACAAATCTTAAGTTACATGTGCTTGTTTTGAAATGACACAAGCTTCTGTTGGCTGGTATGATGCCTTATTCCTAGATCTTGCACAGTTTGGTGGCGATGCCTATCTTTTATTTTGTACTTGTGAACTGAGAGAAGTTTTGAAAAATAATCCAGGTTATTTTGTGTTGTGTTTGAAGTTTGATGTTAATATAAAACAGTGGCATTTCTTCTTTAGCCACCTAGTTACCTGGTGTTGTAAACTTATTGCCGATATGAAATTACACTGCGTGCAAATGATGTAATTTTGAAACGAGTTATAATTGTTGCAGCATTTGTGTGAACAAAGATGTACATGCGGTACTAGTGGAGCCACACATCATATTATCATAATACCTTATATTTATATTTTGCTATGACGCTAGAGTGCAGAATTCTAATTCTTTATTACTTATTTTTTTCTTTTTGCCAAAGTTAGACTAGGGATTTCATTCCATCACACAGTTATAACCAAAACAAGCTTTGGACAAGCTCAGAAATACCAAGAAAACTTGGAACAAAGGGAAACTTGGAAGTTAGATCCAAACGGTAAAGTCATTACAAACAACCTCAAAAGCGATTCACTCAGTGGCAACATCATTAAGGCCAGACATCGAATTAGTAGTTTCTGCCTTATGTTTGGCCTTACCAAATGTGTTATACAGCTAGAAGGGAAGCTAGTATAGGGGCTTGTTTTTGTTGGATTAGCTCCATTTTGGTCCTTGTTTAAGCTATAGGAGAAGTGAATAGTTTTCTTTTCCATTATTAGTTCATTTGTTTCGCCTGTTAGAAAAAGTAACTTTTATCTCTTCTTTATTTTAAAAGTGTTTTTTATAAAAGTTAAAACTATTTATATTTTTATAAGAATATTTAATTTTTTTAAAAAAATATTTGGCTTTTGATTTCTGTTTTTTTTAGAAGTTAAATTTTTAGCTTTTAAAAAAAATAAATTTTTGACTTTTTTGTGACTTATGTTTTTTTTTAAAATAGACATTCAAACGAAATTAAAGTGAGAAATATTTTTTGTTCTTGAAAAAAACAGTTTTTGAAGAAAAAAAATTAATTCAAACGGGCCCTAAGTGCATTATGTGATTGTTTGAAACCTTAATATCGTGCAAGATCTACATTTAGCTTGTGGGATTAACTTCCTCGATTCTAAATTTACAATTTATTATTGTGATAACCATGACATTTCTTCTTAATGAATTGTGTTTGGGAAAATTATTCTTAATGGTCAGTAGCGGTCATTTTGGACAATTTGGATAAGTTGATAGTTTAGAATGTTTTCAAGCGTAGGCGGAACTAATATTGCGGGATAATCCTCCAATTCTCGCAATTTTTTACCCATATCCAAAATATATTTAGGAATAGTCTTTGGAAAAGTGTTTTGTGTAGGTAGGATGCGCACGTTTTGATTCGATTCAATTTTTTATGCCGAACAAAATCAAATTGATTTTAATACTTTGGTTAAAAAAATTAGATCGGTTTTAATTGTTTGGTAAATTTGCCGAATCGACTTTACATTTTTACAAATTGATTATGAACTGGTTTAAAATTGATTTTGGTTTCGAATTAATTTTGAGCTGATCTGATTATAACTGATTTTGGTTTTATTTTGAATTGGATTTAAGATTAAAAAAAATTGAAAAAAAAAATGATTCTAAAATAAAAAAAATGCTAGCAACTAAAGAAAAAGAATCCATTCGGTTTTTTGTTTCTAAAAATAGTTCAAACAAAATCATTCGGTTATTAAACCAATTTTAAAATTTATTATTTAATTGCTGTTTGATTCAGATGATGATTCCGTATGATTCTTTTGAATTATATGCGTACCCAGTCAAGTACATTTTGCGTCCTGAATAAAAATTAGATGATTCAATTTAATCTTTTAGAAAAAAAAGTCGACTCGTGATTCCTCTAGATTTCAAAATAGATCTATGTTAGTCCTTTTGAAGGATTAATACGGATCTTTTTCGAATTTCAGAGGAACCGCGATTTCAACTAATTTGGTCTATTTTGAAATTCAAAAGTATCACGAGTCAACTTTTTTTGTAAGCAATTAAATTGGATCCCATAATTTTTGTTGAGAACTCAAAAGGTACTTTACTCTGTATATAATTTCCAGAGCAGAAATGACAAGTGACACTGGAGGTGATCAGAGATAAGGGAGTATGGAGTATTGTTTAAAAACTCGGCCCGACCATCGACTTAGCTGAGGTCAGGGTCAAGGGGTTACGAGTTTAACTAGGGGTCACGAGATTACTTCGTTGACACGGTTTTATACATTAAAAAAATTAAATATATATCTTATACGAAAAATTCAAAAAAATCAAATCACCAATCATCATAGATTCAAAATATACTTAACATAATTTATCCAATTACATCCACAAGTCAATATTACACAAGCTAATCAAAGTATCAAAGTATAAAGCACATATTCCAATGGAGTTAATAAAAAGTTATATCATCAAACTCAAACCCTCATTGTCTTTCTCACGCACCTACAACAGCATATGAAAGGAGATCCCTTACCCAAGAGAGAAGAATAGAGGAGAGGTGACGACGAGACGAATCAACGATTGGGAGAGAAGAGCCAGCAAGACGGAGTAGAGGGAGAGAGAAGACCGAAGAGCATAAGAGGAGGTACCACCATGGCGGAGGAGATCACCGAATCAGGGAGACTAAGTCTGGGTTTGGTAAAGAAGATCGGAAGAAAAGAAGAAAAACGATTCAGATTTTAGATCTAGTTCTAGATCTAAGTAGCAACAAGTTTTTTTTTTTCAGTTTGCTTTTTGTTTTTTGTTTTTTTTTACACACCAAACGATTTTTTTTCGTGTGTAAATTTAAAAAAAAAATGCAGTGATCCCCCTAAACCCTCTGATCCGAGAGTCACAGATTCAACTGGAGGATTTCGGGGGATCAGAAGAGTCAACGTGCATACAAAATTTAATTATTGACCCCAACCCTCAGAAAGAGAGGGTAAGTGACCTGGCGGGGTCGACCCCTGGGCAGAGTTTTAAAACACTAGTATAGAGAAGATAAACTATTGTATATTTGACCATTTATATTGATTATTTTCAAGATATTTAATTTTAAGCAAAAGGAAAATAAATGTAATATACAATGTTAAATGAGGGTGCAATATGCTCAAATATATAAAATAAAATAAAAAGTGTAGTCTTCACCCTAAAAAAAGGTATAGTAACAATAATAAATCAGGTAAAGTACATTTGACAAAACAAAACAAAAAATACGCTATTGTGAGCTTATTAGGTCGTTTGTTCAAGTAACAATTAATTTTTCACAAAATAAAAATTTATAAATATAATGATGTCAAATCTTCTTATTTTATAGTTACGATGTCCAATAAATCAAATGTAGCAACCCCAAGACCCCAGCTAACTGAGACCAGGCCCAATCGTGTTAAGCGAAGGCCCAATTACCTAACGGACTACTGCTAGTGCTCTTTGAGCCCATGGAAACATAAATCCTTTAATTCAGCTTTTATAATTTCCTTTATGTAATTTTCTTTATGTAATTTCTTTTATGCACTCAGAAAAGCGTTGTAACAGAAAATGATATAGCCCATGAGGGGCGTGGGGAATAGAACAGAAAATGTTTGACAATCTCTCTTTTTTCTCTCTCACTACTCCTTCTTCTCTCTTTTCTGTTATCTGAATCTAGATCTGAAGAATCACCCTTACAATTGGTGCTTTCATTGCTCCTCATCCTACCTGCTCATGGCGGAAAATACGCGTTTAAGGGATTTGCAGCAGCGCCTTGACACCTTGGAGACTCAATTTCGCTCAGCGGAATTAGCCAGAGAACAACAGTACCTAGGGTTACAGGAATCCCATTCCAACTTACAAGAATTGCAACACACTATGCAATCCTCTCACGAGCGGCTCCATCAGGATCTGACACGTTTGATTGACTTACAGGAATCATCCTCAGGCGGTGTTCCTCTTAACCGTGGCATTTTGGGATCTGGACCCCATGGCCCTTCTGACCACGTCAGATCTCGCCAAATTAAGTTGGAATTTCCCCGATTTGCTTCTGGCGACCCTACTACATGGATTATTGCTGTTGAACGGTATTTTAATTTTTGCCAGGTCCCTTCTACTGATCGTGTGAACTTGGCTGCTTTTCATTTAACTGACCTAGCAGATAGCTGGTTTTATGGGTCAGATCAGAATGGTTTACTACCTGATTGGAGATCTTTCTGCACTTCTCTACAACGTCGTTTTGGACCTTCCGAGTTTGAGGATCCGGCTGGCTCACTATTTCGCCTCCATCAATCTGGTTCGGTTGTTGAATACCAATCCGCCTTTGAGAAACTGGTTAGCAAAGTTCCCGGGTTATCCGCTACACTCTTACGTAGTATCTTTATTTCTGGCTTAAAACCATATATTCGTCGTCTTATCCTCACCCAACGTCCCCATGACTACCATGCAGCCTTTTCCTTGGTCAGAATTTACGAAGATCAGGCCCACGATTCAAAACTGTATCCTCCCTGGATAAATTCCCAAAAATCCATTTTGCCAGCCCAATCCACCAATATACATAACCCTTCCACCGCCCTTCCATCCCCTTCCCAGAATCCACCACTACCTGCCATACCTATTCGCTGTTTGTCTCCGGCAGAAATGCTTGTGAGAAGAGAAAAAAATTTGTGCTATAACTGTGACGAGAAGTATTCCTTTGGTCACAGGTGCAAAGGCAAAGCTGCCCTTCTCTATTTAGAAGGTACTGATGAGGAAGTTCTTCCAGATCTTCCAGAGATACTTCCCGCACCCTTACCTCATGAGATTGAACCAGAAATCAGTCTCAATGCGTTACTTGGTAATCGTAACCCACGATCCTTTCGATTGGAGTGTACCATCAAGGGCAAACATGTCCAAATATTAGTTGATGGGGGTAGCACCCATAATTTTATCACTGAACGTGTGGCTACATTTCTTGAATTAACCATTCACATGATCACTCCGTTTCAGGTTCATGTTGGTAACGGTGAGGCACCAACGTGCACTGCTTCCTGTCCCTCTGTTCCTATGCTTTTGCAGTCCCAACTTTTCACCGTTGATCTCTTTGTTTTGGACCTGAAAGGGGCGGATGTTGTCCTTGGGGTCCAATGGTTGGCAACCTTAGGACCTATAATGACAGACTACTCTACTATGACTATGTCCTTCTCCAATGCGGGCTCCACTGTCACATTACATGGTAATCACATCACTGGTCCTACTTCCATCTCTGCCGCCCAACTGCAGAAGCTGGTGACTTAGCACTCCATTTCCTCTTACTTTATGTGCCTCACTAGCAACCTTATTCCACTAGCTACCCTTCCCTTGCCCTTACACACAAATATACATGACATCCTCACCCAATTCCAAGACATCTTTCAGGATCCTAAGTCCCTACCCCCTGACCGCTCCACCAACCATTCTATTAACCTGTTACCCGACTCCAAGCCCATCCAAGTTAGACCCTATCGCTACCCTCATTTCCAAAAGGCTGAGATTGAGAAAATGGTAGGGGAAATGCTTGAGTCTGGTACAATACAACCCAGTCACTCCCCTTTTAGTTCGCCAGTCTTTTTGGTCCGTAAAAAGGATGGCACATGGTGTTTCTGTGTGGACTACCGTGCTCTCAATGCCCTCACGATCCCAGATAAATTCCCCATTCCTACTGTTGATGAATTACTGGATGAACTTCATGGAGCTCAAATATTTTCTAAATTGGACTTAAGATCTGGGTATCACCAGATCAGAATGAAGCCTTGTGATGTGCCTAAGACTGCTTTCAGGACCCATAGTGGTCACTTTGAATTTTTGGTGATGCCTTTTGGGCTCTCTAATGCCCCATCGACCTTCCAAGCCACCATGAACCATGTCTTCGCACGTTTTTTACGTCGATTCGTGGTCATATTTTTTGATGATATCCTAGTCTACAGCTCTACCCTCCAAGATCATGAGGACCACTTGTTGCAAGTGTTACAAACACTGTGTCACCACAAATTCTTTGCTAAGCTCACTAAATGCTCTTTTGCTGTGCATGAAATACAATGTCTAGGTCACATTGTTTCTGCTGCGGGTGTCTCTCCAAACCCCTCTAAGGTCCAAGCGGTCCAACAGTGGCCCACCCCCCAATCGGTTACTGAATTACGGGCTTTTCTTGGTCTATCTGGCTATTAACGCCGTTTTATTAAGGGCTATGCTATGACAGCCGCTCCCCTCACCGACTTACTGTCCAAAGATGCTTTCGTGTGGACAACAGAGGCGGGTCAGGCTTTTGATTCTCTCAAGCGGCTGCTTACCACGGCTCCTATACTAGCCTTACCTAATCTTCAATTACCTTTTATACTGGAGACAGATGCCTCAGGTGTAGGTGTCGGTGCAGTGTTATTACAGGATAATCATCTGATTGCTTTTTTCAGTCGGAAATTGTCTAAGTTAATGCAATCTAAATCCACTTATTTTCGAGAAATGTTTGCTATCACTTCCGCGGTTGCTAAATGGCGACAATATCTTTTGGGCTCGCCCTTCGTCATCAAGACGGATCACCAGAGTTTACATCACTTAATGTCCCAGGTGATCTAAACCCCAGATCAACAACAATTTCTCGCGAAACTGTTGGGGTTTAATTTTTCCATTCAATATAAGTCTGGCAAATTAAATACGGTGGCAGATGCTCTGTCCCGCCACCCTGAGGGGACATCAGTTATTTCTTCCCCTGCACTATTGGCGATTACTGTGCCTACTACTCATTATCTTGAGGTCTTACAGTCCGAGATAAAGAATGATTCCTATGCTACACAAATTTTACAAGATATCAATTTGGATGCTTCTAAACGTCCCCATTGGCGCGTTCATAACGGTCTCTTGTTCCATCGCCACAGGTTGTATGTCCCTGCTGGATCTTCCATGATCCCATTTCTTTTACAGGAGTTCCATTCTTCCAAAGTGGGTGGCCACGCGGGGGTTCGTCGAACTCTGCTTCATCTTGGTGCAAAATTTACCTGGAAAAACATTAAGAAAGACGTTCAACAGTTTGTTCAACACTGTGAGATCTGTCAGAAAACAAAGGCCCCCAACCATGCCCCATACGACCTTCTTCAACCACTACCCATACCTGAAGAAATTTGGTCCTCGTTGTCCATGGACTTCATCACCCATCTTCCTTCTTCCGCAGGTTTTGCCACTATTTTCGTGGTTGTAGACAGATTAACGAAAGGGGCCCATTTTGTTGCTTTGCCCGCTCGATACTCGGCTGCTAAAGTGGCCCAAGTTTTTTGGGACAACATTGGCAAATTGCATGGTCCTCCAAAGTCCATTGTTTCCGATCGTGACCCCATATTCCTCAGTGAATTTTGGCGCACACTTTTTAAACTGCACGGAACAGATCTGCACTTTAGCACAGCATACCACCCACAATCGGACGGACAGACAGAGAGGGTTAATAGAAGTTTGGAACAGTACCTGAGGTGTTTCGTTCATGAACATCCTTCCTTCTGGCACTGGTACCTCAGTTGGGCGGAATTTCATTATAACACTGCTCACAATCGATCCACTGGTTTTTCCCCTTTTCAGGCTACATACGACCGCTCTCCGCATGTCTCCTCGAATATGCTATGGGCACAACTTCCCTAGAAGCTGTGGACTCGGATCTTCAACGATGTTCCTTACTCCTGTCATCGTTAAAACAAAACTTAAAAAGAGCACAAGGTTTCATGAAAGTACAGGCTGATAAAAAAAAGAAAAGATTTCACTTTTCAACTCGGCGATCTAGTGCTCCTTCGTCTCCAGCCCTTCCGACAGCTGTCTGTTCATCGGAGATCTTGTCACAAGCTCTCCTTACGTTTCTTTGGTCCATATCAGGTTCTGGAGCGCATCGTCCAGGTCGCTTATCGTCTCCAACTTCCAGCTGACTCTCGTGTTCATCCGGTGTTCCATGTGTCTCTCCTGAGACCCTTCACTACTACACAGAGGTACAAGATCCATGCTTTCCCTACAGATTTACAACGGTCCACTCCCACGCATGTGCTCGCAGCCATCGTTTCTCGTCGCATGATCTGGAAGCAAGGACGCCAGGTCCCTCAGTCACTGGTACAATGGCAAGGGTTACCACTGGAGGATTCGACATGGGAGGACGAGGCTTTGGTCTCCCTGAACCTACCCAACCAGTTACAGTTGCCTTCTCCAGCACAACATTCCACCCCAGCTACTTCAACAGACGCGGTTTCTTTTCCATCTCACCTAACCCTAGCCAACTGTGATATCAGTTCCCTCATTAATGCCACCGAACCCACAGCCAATGAGAAGCCTGCATCCCAGATTCTTATCCCTTCATCAACTAATGACACCCTGCCACATGCTCAATCCATCTGCCCACCTAACCCTATGTCTGACCCTTTGTACCTCGTGGACGAGGCCTGTTCTGAAGGAGAGGGGAATGTAGCAACCCCAGGACCCCAGCTAACTGAGACCAGGCCCAATCGTGTTAAGCGAAGGCCCAATTACCTAACGAACTACTGCTAGTGCTCTCTGAGCCCATGGAAATATAAATCCTTTAATTCAGCTTTTATAATTTCCTTTATGTAATTTCTTTTATGCACTCAGAAAAGCGTTGTAACAGAAAAGGATATAGCCCATGAGGGGCGTGGGGAATAGAACAGAAAATGTTTGACAATCTCTCTATTTTCTCTCTCACTACTCCTTCTTCTCTCTTTTCTGTTATCTGAATCTAGATCTGAAGAATCACCCTTACATCAAACCTTTTTACAAACTTTGCTTATGAAGTTTTGATTGTTCTTTTAATAAAATAAAGTGACAAGAAGGATAATTAAAATATATATTCCTGAGAAAAAAAGAGAGAGAAATAGAGCAAGAAGAAAATGGGAATTGGTTTAAACAAAATAAAGTTTTCTATTTCTTCCCCTTCCTCTCTATCTCTCTTCATTGTTGTTCTACATTGGCAGCTACATCAGCTTCTTCCTGTGCCTCCTCCTCACCAATTAATAAAATTTAAATACAATAAAAGGCTAAACAAAATTGTTCATAAACTCAGAAAACTTCCAAAAGAAACTTAGCAGAACTATATGTAGAGCTTTTTACTTCTTCTCCTTGACACCAATTTATACATATAACTAATACCGCATCTCTATTTCAGGAAAGATGAAGTTGCCACCGTGGATTATAATTAAATTATGCATAATTAATAGATCAGAAAATAAGGGAACCAATGAAAATTAGGCTTGTCCTTTGCCATTCCAATCTGGTATGCCTAATGTGAACTCCAAACTTGGGTTCTTGCACTCTAAATTAGATCCTGACAAACTGTTCTTGAGTTGAGTTGAATCACACTCCTGTAGGGTAAACAATCTTTTGTAAATTAGATATAAAATAAGGGAAAATTATTTGTCTTTTTAAAATATGTAACTTATGTCATTTTATCAATTTATAACTATGTACAAAGGGTGTACATAGTTATACTTAGAGGTGTAAATGGGCTAGGCTAGACTAGCTAGACTTTGGCTTAAATAGGCCAACCCTGTGTAAAAAACATTGGGTATGGCCTGACCTATTAGCCTGTGTAGGCTTCAAATTACAATTCTGGCATGACCTATATTCAAAAAATAAAAGTCTTGACCTAAGTCTGTTTAAACCTATTAAACATTCAACAATTAAATGAATAACTAAAATAATATTATTTTATTATTCAAAATTATTAAATAATAATTTTATTTATTATATTTTAAATAAATAACATGATATAGGTCTGCCTGTAAACTTATAGGCCCGACATGTACAAAAAAAACCTATGATCTATTTTCTAAATTGGTTTTTTTAAAAGCCTAGGTCTATTATATTTTACTACTTATAATAGGCCAAGTTTGGCCTAATATAGGCTAGGTCGTAGGTCCATGTAGGCCGGCCTAGCCCATTTACACCCCTAGTTATAATATTAAAGTTGTACTTTTTTCTCTCTCTTTAAATACTGTTTGTTGACGTGTGGAGAGAATACAATTTTAATATTATAATTATGTAATAACCTTAATAGATAGTTATAAATTGTTAAAATGACATAAGTTAAATCCTTTAAACTTTTAACCCATAAAATAATCACACATATATATATATATATATATATATATATATATATAGACACACCCACACACAGGCACACACCAATCTCTTATACCTGAACTTGATGCCCTCCTGCTATTGATTGTGACTGGAAGATAGGTGATCTGAAACCATCTATGTCATTAGAACTAGTTTGTGGCCATGGCTCTCTACTGCTGATCAATTCCATTAACATCCGAAAGACACAAGCATGAAAATTTTTTTGCGTTAGTTCCATTACATCACACATAATTTCCACGAAGATGAGAATTACACTACATACAGAAATTCGGAAATTGTCACATATTTGTGAACTATTAATTATTATAAATAGAGAAAAATTATCTTTGACCTATGTTGTGCTTACTCTTCTAATTTTTATTAATTAGCCATTCAGGAAAGAAATGTATATATAACTTTATCTTATATATAAACGATAAACCGTTGTTAAATTAATTTTCCTTGTTTAAAAAGAAATTATTGCATTAAAAGACATAAATTAAACCATACCTAAATCAATGTATTACATCTATGATGATCATTGATTAATAAAATTTATAAGTACTGTCAATATATACGCACTATAAAAAATAACAAAGGACTCATGTATACACATAATGTCCGTACAATGGTTTGGCTAGGCACGTGCCAAACTGCCAATTGTACTTACAATATGACCGCATAACTTATGATTATGACCCTTGCTTGTTTGCTTCCACCAAAACTGGTTTTCATTTAGTGAGAGTTCTAGACCATTAATTTAAGTTCATTTAAGGAAATATGATGAAGTTTACGTAAGGGAATATTTTTTTTTTTGATAACAAGGGAATATTTTTCAACCATGACAAACAGCAGTAGGTATTGGTCCTAGAAGTTTTAATATATCCAAAAACTGAATAAGAGAAAGAGGAGAGGCCTCTCAATTTTTAAAAGATATATGATTAAAGGCTATCATTACTATAAAACTTTACCTGCAAGAGCGACTATTTATCCCCTTGGATTTTAAATCTATCTTCAGCATCCCCTTTTGCATTTATATTTCGGTATAAACTTATATATCTATGTGTATGTTGCCGATATTATGAATCAATGACTTTGCAGAATTTCATCACCTATTTAGTCTAACATATTTGGTGCAATGTGTTCCGTGAGAATCTATCTAGCACGTCTTCAAGATAAAAAGCAAAAGAAAACACCATCTTAAGCGAAAACTCTAGAAGTAGAATATCCCCATTACCAAATACAATATGATATATTTCAATTTAGATTGTAAGTAATAACAATAATGCTTCTAGAAAAACACACTCAATATGAACGATTTCATCATTTGGGTTTTATGCACACTACAGGTGCAGAGAATAATACAACCACATTTTTAACAATGTTCCATATTTCCTTAGTTAAGATCTGTTGAGGAATTCAAGTGTGCATGAATGAAGTCTCACATTGGTTAAGAATAGATTGTGTGAGCATCGTATTAGTGGAAAGACTCTTGTACCAAATTCCTTAAGATTTTGAATTTGACTGTGGTGTCTAGATATGCTTAATATCGTTGCTCAGTTAGTTCATGGATGGGTAAGCATCAACTGTAATTACTATGTAGTATTAGGACACAAGCACACACATACACATAATAAAATAGGCGAATGATCAAGCTATAGGTTGCTTTCCTTTTATCCTAATTAAAGTTTGGTTATGTCTTGTAGCTTTCTTTTGTTGTACCTACCCAAGGCTACATATCTGATTAGGTGAAAAAATTCATTAAGATTCAAAAGATATATAAAGGAAAAAAGAAAGAAAGAAGAAAATCAATCAAACACAGGTAAAGCAAAAGCTGCCACGAGAACCCTTTTTATTCTTCATAAAAAAGAGTGTGACGGACGTGGGTTTGCATTGATTTCTAAGAGATACCATGCAAAAGCAAAAGCAAATCAAGCAATGCAGTGTCCCAAAATAATCATTTAATATGTACATACGTCTACTTATACAAGCACATATATAAAACATATGAATTTATTTATAATCTCTCTAACAAAGAGAAAGAGGAATTGGTAATGTTTTAATGGTAATGGTACCTTGAAGAGTTACTCCATAAAGTGGTGCTCGAAGAGTAGTCCATATCTTGTTGCACTGGCCGATCCGGCAACCCTCTTTGGTCGGAAAATTGCCGTAGACCACCGCTGCTTCCCATCGGAGACATGTCATCCTCTCCTGATCCATCTGAAAGTCCTGCAACAAAAAATAATAATGACTCCAAAATGAAATTGCAACATGTTTGTGTGTATGTGTAAGTGCATGCATGCACACATCTTCGTATTTTTTATATAATTAATTTATTTAGGATTAATGTATAGGTAAGAGACAATAGAAACAAGGGAATACTTGTGGTAATAGTATAATAAAATTGTCTGAAAAAGAACAAGGTAAGTGGCATTTTCCTTTATATAAAAAATTAACTAAATAAATATTCGTGATGTTTAAGAGAGGAATAAAAAAAAAAAGCTGCTGAAAAAGGAAAAAATGGTTGAAGATTGAACAATACGAATTACCTGAAGAAGCTGCAGGCTTGTCAGTGGTCTTAACAGTTCGATACATCTGGGAACAAAGTCATAAAACAAGGCATTTTACTTACAAATAAGGCATTTCCTCATTTGAAAGAAAACTATACACTACAAGTATATACATATACATATATAAAAATTAAAATAAAATAAAAAACAATTCTTTGTATAAAATATAAATTAAAGAAAAATAAAAACTGGTGATTCCCATTTAGATCCCTCTCTGTTCTCTACGTTAGGGTGTCTGGGGTTTGCACATTAATCACGAGGTTGATGTTTGATAAGGTTGTAAGGAGAGGTGTATTATTGGAAAATGATGACTTTTGTCTGTTTTTGTTTCTCTCTCTCTCTCTCTCTCTCTCTCTGTAAGCAGAAGCGGTGTCTGTCTGGTCGATTGTCTCAGACGATAAAGGCTCTTACTTAGCTCACTACAGTCTTTAAATTCATCCACTCCCACATTCACTGCTTTCTTCATCGGCTACCGTGCCCCCTCTTCCATACTCCAAAAATTATAGAGAGAGAGAGAGAAATTGAGAGAAAAGAAAAAGGGATATTTGAAACCATATACATAACATAACATTTAACATACCTGCAAATGGCTTTTGACATGAGCTAATGTGAGATCCTTCACATCCATTAGCTCAAGAACTGACTTTGGAGTAGCTCCTAAAATTCACCATCTAAATACATTAGCCAAAAGCCTAAAAGTGGAAAACAAGAAAGAAAGAAAAAAAAAAAAAGGAAAAAGAAAAACAAGAAGAACCCACCTAATAATACACTAATTCACTTTCATTCATTTAAAAGTAAAAAAAAAAGATAGCAAGTGACAAACTAAAGTCAAGATTTAAAGAAATTATTAAAATAAGTTGGGAAAATAAAAAAGAAGATAAACAAAATCTTAAAATTAATTTACTTTCATGGCCACCAAGAAGCTCAACGGCATGAACAAATCGAGCATGGAGGGTGCTTGTCCAACGCATTCTTGGTGCTCTCATGCTTCTCTTGGTTGGTAACTTGGGCAAAAACCTTGATCTCATAAAACCAGAGGAAGCTTCAAGATGAGAGGAGGGTCCAAGTCCAACCCCATAGTGTGAGTGATGATGGTGCAATGGATGAGATTTGAAACCCTCACTTGAAATCCCATTAAACCTTGTTGCAGTGGCAGCCCTATACGCCGCCGCCGACCCGTTGGTGGCGCCCGCGCCGCCTCCTGAGTTCAAGAACGACATGGGATCCAAACCCCCAAAGTATGGTGAAGGAGAAGTGGAAGGAGTTGAACACAGAGAGGAACAAGAAGAGGACAAAGAGGGATATGAAGACATGTGATGATATAAGCACATCTTGGGATTATGATGATGATGATGATCCTTGTCTCTTGAATGATCCATGGGTAAGAAAGGGAATGAACGGTTGTGATACACTGGAATCCCCTTGATTGGCCTCAATCCTTCTGATGACACATCAAGCAATGAAACACCATAATTTATGTGATTCAAGTGATGAGTACTTGAACTAGTAGTGCTACTTGTTGTTGTTGTTGGAACACCATGATGGAAATGAACCTGTTGTTGGTTTTGATAATAAGGGTTATTGTGTGGTGATTCCTCATGAAGTACTCCTCCTCCTTCTTCACCACCACCACCACTGAAATTCCTTCCAAGAGAAAGCTCAGTGTGAGCTTGAGACACTTTTCTTGAAGGGAAATTTGAGGTAGCTGAATTGTGGCCTTCATAATTGTTGTTACCACCAGCTACTTGAGCTTGATTGTTACAAATCAAAGAAGAAGAAGAAGAAGATGTGCTTGGTGGGCTTATGTGAAGGGAAAGATCAGGAATAGAACTATTAGTTGAAGTGGGTTCAATGAAAATCCCCTCCAAGGGCATCTTCTTTAGAGATTGTAGCTTGATGGTTAAACAGAATATATATATATGAGAGAGAGAGAGAGAGAGAGAGAGAGAGAGAGGTTTTTTTTTTTTTTTTTTTTCCTTTATTAAAATCAGATTTTGATACTAAGGAGAGACAAAGCAATTAAAGTGTAATATTCACAGGCAAAGGAGTGTGTAATCCTTTTGTTTTGTTCAGCAATGAGTCTTTCTTTTCTCCTTCTCTCTATCTCTCTTTGCTTTTTTTAGCTTTCCCCGGAAAAGAATCTGGAAAGCTAACTCTAGCTATATGCGAAGAAAACCTTGTGCTTTTGAAAAAAATAAAAAAAATAAAAAAAAAATAAGAGAGAAGCTTGAACACAGAGAGAGAGTGAGAGAGAGAAAGCTAAGAAGAAAAGGAAGAATGAGTCATAGCAATGTTTAGTAAAGAAAAAACAGACATACTGAAGAGAAAGCGGAGAAGAGTGTGAAAGTGTGATGAGAGGTTAGAGAGAGACAGATAGAGAGGAAGAGAAAAGAAGAGGACTCATATGTTGAGCAGTGGACAGAAGATAGAAGGAATTAAATTTTATTTTATTTTATTTTATTTTATTTTTTATTTTTTGAGTGGAAATAAAACGGAAAAGAATTCCAGAAAGGCATGGAAAAGAAAACAGGTGGATTTGCGTTTTGTTTTCCTCGAGAGTATATCTTGGAAAATGACACTAGTGAGACGTATGATACACAGACATTTTTAATTTTGTTCAAGTGTTTAAAATATTCACAAATGAGACACTAGAGGATATGAACTATGAAGGCTGCATATGTGGAATATTTTTAATTAATATTTTATAGTTGCTGGCATCTAAGTTAAAAAAAGAGATAGGTGATTTAGTGGAAGATTATACCTCAAATCCTCAATCATCATTGTCATACCTTAGTCTTAGATCATAGAATTTTAATGCTTGGTATGAGATTTAGACATCTAAGCAAGTATATAATGACTATACATCAAGACTAAAAATAAATGTACTTTTTATCTAATTTCAATATTTACTTATTATATCATACAATTTATAATAATTTAATTGAATTAGTAGTAAATATCACATGATCATTTCATAGAAAAAAATTCAGGTTATTAGTAATTTTCTTATTATTTTAAATAAATCCTATTATTAAGTCATTAGAGTAGAATTAGCAAGGATGAATGACTATTTGTAAAATAAAAAAAATGAATTATGAAAAACTAAATTTGAAATCAATTGAAGAAATTATCAAGTCAAATAACTAAAAGTGTGTTTATAAATATTTATTTTTAATATATGTATGAAATTAACTTGAGAATTGATTAATGATATCAAGCCTTAATGATTAACTATTATGTATCAAATGCAGAGTAAAAAGTGAAGCGGAACGGGTGAAAGTGTTTATGTGGATGACTTTGCTTGCTAAACTTTCAGTGCGCAGCAGAACCAGTAAGTGGAGCGGAGGTTTAAATGTCTGTCCCAGTTGTCCAAATCATGAGGAAACTATTATTCATGTTCTTCGTGATTGTAGACATGCTAGGAAAATTTGGCAATCTTGGTTTACAGGTTTGATACCCAATTCCTTTATGAATTCGAATTTGCAGGATTGGTTGACTTTAAATATCGATAACATGTGGTCCTCCAATAAAGTGAAGAACTGGAGGGATATTTTCTTTACTACTTGTTGGTTTTTGTGCAAGTGGAGAAATTTGGAGATCCATGAAGATCATTTCTGTCATGATGAGCAATCGCAGGCTTCAATTTGGATGTTTGTCCAACAGATTCTGCAATCTCGAATTTATCAGCGCCGTGGTGATTCCAACGATAGCGTTTGGACAGCCCCCAAGCAAGGGTGGGTTAAGTTGAATTGTGATGGAGCTTCTTCTAGTGGCATGAAAAAAGCTAGTTGTGGTGGTATATTAAGAGATCACAATGGATCCTTTTTGGGAAGCTTCTATTGTAATTTAGGTTCATGCAATCCTCTTGATGCAGAATTATGGGGATTACTAAAAGGTTTGGAACTGCTTTAGGGAACAGGATTAAAAAGAATAGAGCTAGAATGTGATTCTAGCCAAGCCATCCAGATGTTAAAGGAGCAGCATGAAGATCCTAGGGACTCTCAAGTCACTAGCAGATTGAGATTATGGTTAAAAGCAGATTGGACTATTCATCTTGTTCATACCAAGAGAGAAAACAACAAATGTGCTCATTGGTTAGCTAAAGTTGGGCAGACTAATAATCTCCATTTCAAGATTTTTAAAGATCCTCCTCCTCAGTTGATGGAACTTATAGTTGCTGATGCTAGAAATATGTCTAGCTTGTTAGTTTCTGATTTGTAATTTCTTTCTGTTTCTGGGGCTTAGCCCCTCTTTATTTACAGACAAAAAAAAAATTAATGATATTATATACATTATTAAGAATAAGTTATATAACTAGGATTGACCAAAGAATTAATAAAATTATTATAAATGAAAAATTTAAAAATATATAATTTTTATGTCATGAAAAATGAATTTAAGATGTTAAAATACATTCAAATATTTTTTATTTTAATTTACTTACACACATTTCATGTAATAATTAAATTGTGTATATGAATGTATATTAAGAGTTTATCAAAGCATTGTCATAATTAAATAAAAAAAATATGATCATATAATTATTATTCTTAGTTTATACTTTATGAGTTTAGAAATTCATTTGAAATAATATATTTTACAATTGAAAAACTTTTCCATTAAAAGAATTGTTTGGAATACTTACTGAAAGTTGGGCCCGTTGGGACTATGTGAAAAGAAAAGAAAAAAAATGGACTCACATACTTTTATATGTATAGATGAAAAAAAAATTATTTCCTACAACATGATAAACATTGTCCCATATATTATATATAAAGCCTAAAATGATTCGTACGTGCCACTGAAATGTATCAAAAAATGTAATTTACAATATAGAGAAAAGTTAATAAAATATACTCAAAATTTAAGTTAAAAATTATTAAAAAATTGTAAAATAAAAATATATATAAAATTTATATGTTTTTAAAAAAGACTTATTTCATATGTTAAAATAAATTAGAATGGGCTTATTTTTCTTTTCTTTTTTGGTAAGCAATGGGCTTATTTTTCTTTATCACAACTTACACAAGTACTAACTTATGTATATAAACTTAAATCATAAATTCACTCAAATATTTTTCATGTTTTGAATTGAGTCTCTATTTTTTTTTTATAAAATCATAAATATGTTTTATTTATTTATTTTATGCATAGAAAAATTTCCAGTTAAAAACTCTTTAGAATATTTCAATTATTTTTTAAATAAATAAAAAAATTAACGTAAATATATACTAGATATCTAGCTATTAACTAAGACATTCAGATCATGGATATAAAATTTAAAATAACTTATGTAACTTAAGAAAAGGATAAAAAGTATCATTGTATTAAATAGTTAAATTTAAAAAGTATATACTTGTTAAGAATTAAATATGGGAATTTTACCCAAATCTTTTTTTATATTTTAAAAAAAATCAGTTTTTTTTTTTTTTTCTGTTTTTGGAGTTAATCCAACCCTAATTACCTCTTTGAGAAAAGTTAGCTTCTCTTGTATCCGCACAAGCTTCGACTCTTTGAGTCGGATATAAGATTAATTCAGATCGAATACGGGTCGGATCAGGGATGAAGATATTTAAATCTTTCCTCTCCCAAAGGTGGCATATGGAGATCGAATCAAGGCCCTTTCATTTTCACTTACTCTGCTCACTTACTACTAACTAAACTACCATAATTTGTTATTAAAAAAAAATCAATGTTAAATGGACATCAAACACATCTTAGAGAACAATATACAGCAGAAGTTCTTTCTCTATTACTCTAGTCAAAACCCATCTATGGTGACTTTGGATAAAAAGTATTAGACAGATGAAGACAGCATCATGTGCCATTCCTTCCTCCCCTCTCATCACTGTTGAAATATATAAATATCTCTATCTTTCTTCACTGTTTAAATGTTGAAATATATCTATACTCTTTAGTGAATCAATCAATTGGAGACTGATTTTCTTGCTTAAATGGGAAATCTAAGTTATTGGACAATACTTTTTATTTTTCTTTTTTTTTTTCACGACAAAAGTTATGTTTATTATCTCTTTTTCTTACTACTTCTTACTGTCGAATCTTAGTTGTTGATTTCCTCCAATAAAATGGTTATAGTTTATTGAGTTATGCTTATTAATTAATTATTAATTTCCAATAAATTATAACCATTAGATATTGACGGAAATCAACGGTTAAAATTTGGTAGTAAGATATAGTAAAAAAAGAAGATAATAAGGGTGTGCATGACAACCATTATGTTCCCTAGCACTGTTTCTGAATAGAAGCAATTCTTTTCTATTTTTATACCTTGGAACAGTTTATGAGAAAATATATGTTTGATAACATGTTCTATTTTTATTCTGAGAACGAGAATTGCGTTTGATAACACAACAAATAATTCCTATGAAACTTTAAAAAAAATCTGGATCATCACTTTCCTTTCCATATGGTGTGGTGGTGGTGGCGACAGTGGTAGCATGGTGGTGGTAATGGTGACGATAGTAGTGGTGGCAGCGGTGGTGATAGTGGCGGCGGTGGTGGCGATGTCGTGGTGATGGTAGTGGCTACGGCGATGGTGGTGGCATAATGACTGTGGTGGTAGTGATGGCGAAGGTGACGGCAGTGGCTGCGACGATGGCAGCGGTGATAGTGGTGGTGGTGGTGACGGTAGTGGCTGCGGCGACGATGGTGGTGATAGTGGCAGTGGTAGTAATTGCAGTAGCTGCGACAATGGTAGTGGTAGTGATAGTGGCGGCAGTGGTTGCGATTGTAGTAGTGATGATTGGTGGCGGTGTTGGTGGTGACAGTGACATAATGGTAATGGAGGTGGTGGTGATAGTGGTGGTGGCATTGTCTTAGTGGTGATGGTGGTGACGACGACACTAGTGGTACGACGGCGATTGCGGCGATGGTGGCGGTGGTCGTGTCAGAACGATGGTAGTGGGGGTGATAATGGTAGTGGTTAAGAGTGATTGAGAGAGATCAGTCTTTCTCATTTTGTCCCGAAAATAAAAAATTAGAAATTTGTATTTTATTTTTTTTCTGTTCTTTAGTACAAAAATTAAACTGATTTATCCCCAAAACAAAAAAATAAATTGATTTTACTAAACGAGTTTTCTTTCAATTTCTGTTTTCAAAAACAAAAATTAAACAAATAATAATTTCGGGAAAGTTGCGATTCACACTTTTAAGTATAACATCTCCATTACAATTTTCAAATTCTCAGGTCGTATTGAATTTTCATAATGTTCCGTGTACTAGATGCTTGGTCCTAAAAGAAAACTGAAAACAAAAAAAAAACCCATTGATCTAAGTGAGAGTGAGAAAGACCCCACAAAGGGGGTTTTGTTTGCT